ATTCTATTTGACTATTTGGCTAAAGTGTCTTCCCAAATTTTTGTCATCCTTTGCACATTTTCTCTATGCATGCATACCTTCGAAATTCCTCTTATTGATTGAACTCACGATACAGTTAACTGTCCTTATTTATATCTTCATCATTTGAATAAATTGCAATTATGCATAAAACCCAACTTTGGGTTTTTTCCCCATATTAGTCCCTAAATCCTTAATAATTTGAAATTAGCCCCTCAAATCATTGAAGCTGATACTAATGTACTAATCCCTCAAAATTTAAGGTCACTTTCTTTTTCCAAGCCGAATTGACAAGGCTTGCCATTCTATACTTAGTTATAGTAATTAAAAAAAAAAGGCTAAGTGTCACTTAAATATCTTATAGCTTCAATCACTTCGTACTTATATAACAATCACCGCCCTTCAGTATGTTTTAAGCGTCTATTCTAACATGTTTTTTTTCCAACATTTATGTACTCTAATTTTTTTAATACAGACACTTTAGCACCATCTATTATGCTAATGTGAAAATCTGCATTCAAATATTTTTATGTGACGCTTAGAATTTATTAGCATGTAGGTGTCATGTGTGAACATTTGAGTGGAAATTTTCAAATGCATGATGAATGATACTAAAGTGACGTGTTTAAACAACTTAGGGCATATAAATGTTGTAAAATATAAGTGGTGTATATAAGTGCAAAGTATAGTGAAGATGGTTGGGGGAGTTATTTTTTGATCAAACTAGCTTTTAAATTAGCTTTTTCATTTACTTGTTTGGTAAAATCCCAAATAAGCTAGCTTATATTACCAATTTGAAAAGGCCTGTATACTCAGCTCTTAAAAACCATTTTATAAGCTCACCTAAATAAGTTAGACTTGACCAAACAAATGACTATTCTATCCACACATTTTTATTAAAATGTTTATCATAAAAATCAAAAGTCACCAAAAGTTAATCGAGCTTTAATTGAAGCTTCTACAAAGAAACCAAATGTTACTTAAGTGCCATTAATTACTTTAATAAATAATCTCATTTACAACCCAACTGTAGATATCCTGGATCCAAGGGCATCGAATGAAGTCTAGTGATTTTGTCTTATTTTTTTCTGGATAGATATATATGAACACGTACGTACTTCTTCAATCTTGTCGTCATAGCAAGCAAAGTGGGCATACAGTGATTAATTGAGAAAGCGACCGACCGTATAAATTTCCCATCATGCATGTTTTTTATTTTTATTTTTAAATTCAAGCTATGGATTATGTTGAAAGTAGTGGATAACAAATATATTAATTAATAAAGTTATTAGGACAAGGTACCTATATGGCTATATCAGAGCTTTTGTGCCAAATGGTATTTATTTTTTCGTGTGATACAGGTTGACTTGTGTCTTTACTATAATAATTGTTTTGTAAATTCCATTGGTAACATTATTTGTTTTTGTCTAAATGTTTTTTTTGCGAGACCAAATATCAAATCTTATAACGAATTTATACATAACGGCTCTAAGTAACAGCCTACTAGTTATCAAATTTGACAAGTTTCGTTATATTCGTCTAAGAAAAATTCTTCTTTGAGACACTTTTGCATAAAGACTATACCCCTTGATTTTATGCAGTATATAATTATCAAATTTAACAAGTTTCCTTGTATATGTCAACGTCTTTCTCAAACAAAATATGGCTTGATTTCAATAGAAAGACACTAGGGGCACACTCTCTACCATACTCCTAACCACACCACCTCTTTTGCTACAGTGCACGAGGCCCAAATGAGATTTTAATTTTAAAATCTTATGTGGGTCCTGTAAACTGTAGTAAAAGAGGTGATGTGATTGAGAGTGTGGTAGAGGGTGTGCCCCTGTCATTATTTATTTTAATTTTACACATTTTCAGTCACGGGAGTGTTTCATCACTTATGTGAGCATGACTAATCGGTAATATTCAAATAGATTAATGCAATCAGTGTCAATAATAACTTAACCGTGTCAAGTCAAATATCGTAATAATTTAATATTAAGCAATATCCCAAATGGTCACGTCTCAACTTGGCGTATCGATCGTCGGCTAATTTTGATGCTTTAGTAGGTCAGGGTAGGCTGTATTAAATGCGATTGTTGGCATTAAATCTGCACGCGCCGCATTTGTTCTTACGTAACTAAATTAAAATTAGGGCTTTTTATTTCTAGCCCCAAATGTTTACTCATCTTTATTTATAAACCCAATCACTATTTGTTGTATCCATAACCCAAATATCTTTTTGTATTTATCTTTAAGAGCATCTCCAACAGCTTCCCCAAAATTTTCTCCAAAATAAAGAAACAAAAGTCATATTCTCCAAATTATTTTTGCTCCAACTCCAACAGCTTTCCCATTTTGAAAAATCGCATTTATTACAATAATAAAGCTCTCCCCAAAAAATTTGGAGAATGCTGCAGATTTGGGGAAGGCTCCCTATTTTTTCTCCTCCTTCCCTATTTTGAGGAATGAGATGGGGAATCTGTTGGACCAAAAAAAAGCTCTATATTCTCCAAATTTGAGTATTTCAAGAAGATGGGGAAGCTGTTGGAGATGCTCTAAGCCCAACTTACAAAATACAATACTTGTATGTGTGGGCCCCCCCCCAAAATCTTTAAGTTGGGCTTAAAGATAAATACAAAAAGATATTTGAGTTTATGAATACAACAAATAGTGATTGGGTTTAAAGGTAAAGATAAGTAAACATTTGGGGCTAGAAATAAAAAGCCTTTAAAATTATTGCACGTTGGTCTTAGTCATAATTGATATTGGTTTGAGGCAAAAAAATTCCTCATTTTAAATTCCTCTTTGGCAATATTATCATGCAGTGATTTAAATTCCTCTTTGGCAAAATTAATAAAGTTAGAAAAAGATTAATAAAGCTTCAAATCTGAATACGCTAGAAGGACTAATTTGTACTAGCTAGAGAAAGAAATAGAGTTCTCTTTTTTAATTTGTTTTATGAACTTAATTATAGGGAAATTATAAAATGGTGGAAATTTTATGTTAGGAGCTTAATAATTGGCATGTAGAATGTTAATTGACGAAGAAAGCTAATATGTGTAATGACATATCATGATTTTTTTTTTCTTGTACGAAAAACTGAATAGTGATAGTAAAGATTATTCTTCTTAGATTACTTTTACACGACAAGAGATAAAATTATATTCTTTTGTTCTCTTTTAAGTTTTTTAAAGTTGATGATGTTGGGACAAACCCAAGGTCTAATAGAGCAAAGTCCCGACGAATAGTAAAGCAGAAATAATAAAATGAACATACACAAATTTACGTGAAAACCCCTAAAATGAATTTGGGGTAAAAAACACGAGCAATGATAGAAGAATTCACTATGAGGAAAATTTAAGAGTTACAATCTCTCTTCTAAAGGAGAAATTCTCTCTAATTTTCTCTCATTCTCTCTTCCTCTCTCTTTCTTTTCACTCTTAATTAGAGACACTAGGATGA